CCCTCCCATCCCTCACCGCTCCCCCCCCTGTTCCCCCCCACCTCCCCCCTCCCTCCATCCCACGCCCTCCCCCCCACCCCTTCAGGGTCCCCCACCCCCCTCCCCCAATCCCTCCACTGGTTTCCAATCCCCTACTCTCCTCCCCTTTAGGCGCACCCTGAACAACCCATCTCTTCCAGGGAAGGCTACCCCCCACCCCCTGCTTACTTGCAGACTCCTCCTCCACTCTTCCTACACATCCATCCCCCACAGCTATCTCCTCCTGTGCCACCTACCCACCCTCACCTCCTAGAATGTAAGCTTGAAAGAGCAGGGCCCTCGATACCCCTCATGTTTTGCATTGTATTGGTATTGTCTGTCACATGTTCTGTCCCCCTTTGTAATTGTACAGCGCTGAGCGTAAACTATTGGCGCTTTATAAATACTGTATAATAATATTAATAATAATAATAACTCCCATTATTGCATGCATGGAAGCGACCCTCGGTGCATATTACAGATCGGACATATGATGGACGGTGTCGGATCTCTATGCTTGATATGAAGTATCTTACATGGGACTCTGATGGTTGTTGTTCATTGTAATATTTACAGGGTCGACTGAAGTGGGGATGGCCTGTGGTGAGGCAGGCCAGTGAGGAGGGAGCTGCAGTAGTCGAGTCGTGATATGATGAGGGAGAGTGGATGAGCTGTTTAGTGGTTTCTGGGGTTAGGAACGTGCGGATTTTGGCGATGTTGTGGAGGTGGAGTCTGCATGAGTTTGTTAAAGATTGGACTTGGGGCTGGAAGGATAGGTTGGAGTCCAGAATGACAACAAGTACTCTGGCCTGCGGGGCGGGCCTGATGGTGGCATTGTTGGACGTGATGGAGAAGTCACTGGGGGTGGGGTCTGGGCTGGGGGAAGACTAGGAGCTCGGTTTTGGAGAGGTTCAGTTTAAGGAAATGGAGAGACATCCAGTCTGATATGTCGCTCAGTAGGTTTGTGATTCAGGAGGAGACTGAGGGGGGGGTGAGGTGGGGGGTAGAGAGATAGATTTGTGTGTCATCGGCATAGAGGTGGTAGTTGAAGCCATGAGAGTGTATGAGTTGGCCAAGAGAGGAGGTGTAGATGGAGAAGACAAGGGGCCCGAGGACGGAGCCTTGAGGAACCCCAACAGAGAGGGGGAGAGAGGGGGAGGTGGCAGCGTTATAGGTAATGCTGAAGGAGCGTTGTGATAGGTAGGACGAGAGCCAGGAGAGAGCAGAATCTCTGAGGCCGAGGGAGTGTAGTTTTTTGAGGAGGAGGGGGTAGTTGACTGTGTTGAAGGCCGCGGAGAGGTCAAGGAGTAGGAGGACTGACTGTTGAAGAGTTTGAGTAAGGCAGTTTCGGTGGAGTGGAGGGGACAGAAGCCGGACTGTAGGGGATCGAGGAGGTTGTTGTCGTTGAGGTGAGAGGTGTTCATTGTAATATTTACAAGTATTCAGCGGATTTCTGTCATCTGTAACAAATATCTTTATCCGAATAAATGCATCTCTCTGGAATACAACTATTAGTTGCTGCAGGAAAAGTACATATATAAATGCACCCTGGTCATCTGGAGAAGGGCTGGATCTCCATGTTTGATATGAACTGTCTGTTGCAAATATCTTCATCCGCTCTATTTTATGGATTGCTATAGTTGTCTTCATAATTTAGGACAACATTGGTGCCGTGACCCGGATTAGTTGTTACATTAATGTTAAGACAACACTGACCAAGTTCCCCTGAGTCCCCCTATGTCAGGCCTTGTCTGCTCCTGTTCAGTATCTGCTCATCATTTCTCTGTGTGATCTCAGTAATGATAGGGAGACATTCTACTCCAGAGACAAGCTTCCTACAGAGTGAATGGACTGCTGGAGAGATTTACAGCCCTCCCCCTTCCATGGGTCATCAGAAGGGGATTTACTGACTTTTCTCACCTTGATGATGGGACCCCATTATCTTCTTCCTTCTTTCTTTTCTATGAGTTTTATGATGACCATACCCTAAGAGTTGTTGGTTCTTTCCCTAATATACTCTCATGTGTCTGTATTTGTCTCTGCAGGTTGAAAGGATGTGATCTGACTTCCTCCTGCTGTGATGATCTCCGCTCCATTCTTATCACTAACCGATCCCTCACCAGACTGGATTTATCAGATAATGATCTCCAAGACTCTGGAATGAGACGTCTGTGTGAGGGACTCCGACATCCTGGCTGTACTCTGCAGGAGCTGAGGTGAGAATTCTACTATAAATGATCTCATATTCTGCAGGACTCTGATATATATCTTCTATGTGAGGGACTCCGAGATCCAGGAGATGAGGTGAGAATTCTACTATAAATGATCTCATATTCTGCAGGACTCTGATATATATCTTCTATGTGAGGGACTCCGAGATCCAGGAGATGAGGGGAGAATTCTACTATAAATCATCTTTTATTCTGCTGGGTTTTGGTTTAAAACCTTTTGTGAGGGATCCAGACACGTTCCCTAGATGACAGTTATACAAAGACAGACTTTGATTTTGGTCTCCTCTGACCACAACACTTCCCACCAGTCCTCCTCGGCATCATTCAGATGTTCAGTGGCAGACTTCAGACCGGCCTGGACATGTGCTTTCTTGAGCAGAGGGACCTTGCGGGCACTGCAGGATTTCAGTCCTTGTCAGCGTAGTGTATTACCAATTGTTTTCTTGGTGACTGTGGTCCCAGCTGCCTGGAGATCATTGACAAGATCCTCACGTGTAGTTCTGGGATGATTCCTCACTGTTCTCATGATCATTGACACTCCACCAGGTGAGATCTTGCATGGTGCACCAGACCTAGGGAGACTGACACTTGTTTTGTGTTTCTTCCATTTGTGAATGATTGCACCAACTGTTGTCACCTTCTCACCAAGCTGCTTGGCCATAGTTTGGTAGCCCAGTCCAGCCTTGTGTAGGTCTACAATCTTTTCCCTGACATCCTTGGACAGCTCTTTGGTCTTTGCCATGGTGGAGAGTTTGGAATCTGATGGTTTGATTGCTTCTGTGGACAGGTGTCTTTTATACAGGTAACAAAATGAGATTAGCAGCACTCCCTTTAAGAGACTGCTTCTAATCTCAGCTTGTTACCTGTATGAAAGACACCTGGGAGCCAGAAATCCTGCTGAATGATAGGGGATCAAATCCTTCTTTCCCTCATGAACATGCAGATCAGTCATCATTTGTTAGACGCATTTCTGCTGAATTTGTTGTTGTATTCTGTCTCTCAGTGTTACAATACACTGAACATTTGATATTTAGACTGATCATTTCTTTGTGAGGGGCAAACATTCAGCATCAGCCGGGGAGCAAATATGCATTTCCTTCACTGTATATATATGTGATTTTGCCCGGTGAATGCTGAGGATCTCCGATGGGGAGGAGGACTGTTTGTAAACAAAACAGTTCTCCTCCCTGTCAGCTTGTGCACACTGCTTTGGATGGCTCTGCACAGCACAGAGTAACACAGCAGTTAACCCTTTGATTGTCCCAGATGTTATCCCCTTCCTGCCCAGTGCCTCTAGTACAGCGTCAGGCCTTTTTTGTTAGCACAGATCACTGTATTGGTGTCACAGGGGATGTCTGTGACGCCAAGTTAGTTCCCCCCCAGTGTCAGAATGTCCGCCACAGACCCGCTGTAAGTTGCTGAACGCCACCATTGCTAATAAAAAGTATTTTTTAAAAAAAGTCTGTAAGAAATCAAATTTATGATTCGGCACTTTTTTTTTTTTAATTTAAATATTTATTTGTTTTCAAAATATAGCAATATAAATATTTCCAACACAAGAAACAATAAAGTACCACATAACAACTTTCTTCTAAAAACACTTATTGCATATCATATTCTCCCCTTAACCCCCTTCCCTCAACCCCCCCTCCCTCCCACCCCTCTTCAATAAACCCCTGACATCTGTCCGATTCCCATCTTTATTCTTATTTACGGAGTGACTTCTTTCTTCTTTGTTCTAAATTCCTCCCATTTCTTCCATTTTGTATTATAAACCTCCATCCTGTCTTCCTGTATATAATATAATTTCTCCATTCTAACAATCTGATCCACTCTGTCTATCCAGTCAACTACCTTCGGTGCCTCAACTTTACGCCAAAACCTAGGTATCAATCCTTTAGCTGCATTTAAGTAACACTATACCCATATCTTTAAATTTTTTCATTGATATTTCTGTGATATGAAAAAGGCATATTTCAGGGTCCAAACCAATCTCAATTTCAGTGATATTCCTAATTTGATTTATAACCTTTCTCCAATAAACTTGTATTTTTGGGCACCCCCACCACACGTGATACGTTGTGCCCTCCTCTCCACATTCTCGCCAACACCCAGGTTGTTTCTCCCCACTCATCTTGTGCTCTACCATCGGAGTGATATACCACCTACTTAAACATTTATAGTTCAATTCCACCTCCCGCATGCTAACATTTCCGTGTACCATTCTATATATTTTTCTTTGTGTATGTTCCTCCCACTCCACCCCCAAATCCCTTTCCCATTTTTCTATATATCTTAATTTTACCTTACTATCTAAATCAGTGAGAATTTTGTATATTTTAGCAGTGCTGTGTTTCCCATCACCTCGAATTTCAAAAAATTTCTCAAATAAATTCCAATCCTTTCTATTTCTAAGGGGCTTTGTCAGTTTCCCCACAAATTGTTTTAATTGATTATACCTCCATATGTCTATCTTAGTGAAAATCCCTCCCTCTTCCCTTTTCAAATCCTCTAGTGTTCTTAAGTTTACCCCCTCCATTACGTCTCTCAACTGAGCATCTTCTTTCTTAATCCATTTACCCGTAATTTCCTCTTTACCTGGGGGGAAAAAAACTCTGAATTTCTTAGTGGCATTAACAGTGAATTAAACTCCCAATTCCTTAGTTTGTGCAATCTATCCCATTCTTTCAAAACAATCCTAGTGTATGGACTTGTGCTCTCAGCTAATTCTCTAAACTGTGTTGACACCCAAATGATCCCACCCAAATCTTTCCCACTAAGTGTATTTTCTATTGTAGCCCAGTTTTTACTCTTTGTATTGTATTTCCAATCAAAAATTCTTGATAGGATCACTGCTCTATAATATCTTTTAAGATCCGGCATTCCTACCCCACCCTTTTCCTTATTTCTACTCAGCACTTCATATGATACTCTAGGTTTTTTATTTTTCCATATATATCTTGTTACCATTTGCTTAATTGTTCTAAAGTATGTCCCTGGGAGTTTAATGGGAATCATTTGGAGTTTATACAAAACCTTAGGGAGAATTACCATTTTTATTAAGTTAATACGACCTAACCACGAAGGATTTCCTCCTCCGATTCTCTTCAATTCCTCCCTAATCTCATTTAACAATGGTATATAATTTGCTTTATAAAGATTTTTCTGTGAAGAAGTAAGTTTCACTCCCAAATATTTTATTTCTCTATCTTTCCATATAAAGGGGAACTCTCTCTGTATCATTTCTTTTTCACTCTTTGGAAGATTTATATTTAATATCTCTGTTTTACTCGGATTAATTTTTAGGTTTGCCAATTCTCCATATTCTTTCAATGTTTTCATTAGGTTAGGAAGCGTTATCCTGGGGTTACCAATATAGAACAATAGGTCATCCGCAAATGCGGCAACCTTATGCTCTATCTTTCCTACGTTAATTCCCTTTATATCTATATTTTTCCTGATTATTAATGGCAACGGTTCCAATGACAAAACAAACAACAATGGGGATAGTGGGCAACCCTGTCTAGTTCCGTTTGTCATTAAAAAAGATTCTGATCTCTCTCCATTTACCATTATCATCGCGGAAGGCCCTTCATACAATCTTCCAATCCATCTCCTCATCCTGTTACCCAGTCCCAAAGCCTCTAACGTATCCATCATGAAACTCCAATTAACCCTGTCAAATGCCTTCTCCGCGTCTATTGATAGCAATAGTTATGATTCGGCACTTATATTGATGGCAAGCTTGCAAAATATTTGGTTTTTATGATTAATCATAATTAATATTTAAATGTGTGAATTGTCGCCTTAAACCGATGATATTATTTAATTCTTCAGTAAAATAGCTGAGATATAAGTTAAGCTGAGACAGTAAATATGAATGAGTTAGCTGAGAGCAGCTAAACCAGCTGAAGACTAGATTTAGGCATAGCTGGTTAGAAGTCTCTAGTAATATGTCAAGGGTATTGGGAGTACTCATTATAGACGTACTATTACATTATGTATTTTAATAGTATCTGTGTGTATTTAGTATACGCTTCTAACATTGATACATATATAGAATAGTGATTATACATTGATATGTTGTAAAGATATGTTCTTAAGTTATATTATTTAAATATGAATAGCTGAGGTTACATCATCAGCTTATAGTATTATGTACATCAGCATCTGTACCTGTCAATCAAAAACATCATGTGTGTAGCGTCCCCTCCCTTCTATGATATTGCTTTGCTAGCAGTACTGATTTCCATAAAAGGTATTGAGATCACTAGGTATGACGCTTGTTCCTGTATAAAAGGTCCATAAGGGACAGTTGGGGGACACACGCTAACACTGACACTCTTTCATACATAACACACACACACGTATGAGAAGCTGGAACAGGTGCTTGTTGAAAGACAAGACCGTCACTTCCGTCTATTTCCAGCTTCTTCCCGAAAGTCTCGTGAAGGACAAGAAGAAGATGGACGTTGCACATGGTCAGACAGTTATGACAATAGTGACTTTTTCTTTAAACTTCTGCTTGATATTTCTACAATAGTTTTATCTACATGGAACTGTTCGTGATACGCTTTACATTGTCATTTTAAGCCATTGTGTGATAGAATAAAATCACACTTCATTTTTTATTTCAATGGCTCTTCATTCATAATCGCCTCAAGACACTAAAGAAGTATTATGTGTCTGAAATCTAACAAAGTCCCAGTATATATCCCGCCATTTGTAAACATTATAACTTTCACGTAAACCAATTAATTTACACGTATTCAGGTTTCTCAGCAAAAACACAGAGCAGAATACATTTTGGCCTAAATTTATGACGAAATTTGATTTTTACATTTTTTTACTGGACATGTTTAATGTTAAAGTCCAAAATATTGTTTTTTTCTCAAAACTGTTGGTCTTTTTTTATTGCACAAAAAAAAATAAATAAAAACACACAGGCGACCAAATATCACTGAAAGAAAGCTCAATTAGTGGGGAAAAAGGACGTAAATTTAATTTGGGTGCAGCGTTGCATGACTGCACAATTGTCAGTTAAAGTAACGCAGGGCCATAATGCAAAAAAATGGCCTGGTCAGGAGGAGGGGAGGGAATCCTCTGGAGGAAGATCTTCCACCTCCTGATTGGCTGGATAGAGAACTCCAAACAAAACACAAATGTCAGCAATACTGAAGTATGTCCTTCAAAACAATTGTCTCTTTATTTATAATAAATGCTCTGACAATCAATAATATGTCCGCCTATCAAGCACCTGATTGGGCAGGAGATAATATCGCTCACCAGGACCACTTTCTGTGTCAGTTCCAGGCAGGAAATGACATCACTTGGCTCCGCCCGAGGGTGGGCTGCCCAATTGATTCCTCGATATGCCGGCATATTATCATTGCTTGTCAGGGCATCTAGCAATCCTCATGGATTTTGCTGCATGGAGACGCAGGTCAAGTAGAAGTCCCATTATTTCCTATATGGCCGGTTCCCATCTATGTGTTGCAGGGAATCTATATGGAGCCATTCCCCCTCCAATGTGTGCATCACCACGTACGCTGCAATGTGTCCATCCACACTAAGACTTCTCAGGTGGGTGACAACTCCCCTCCATCTCACAGGGGAGGTCCAACCAATATTCCATGAGATCATCCATCCAAATGGGCCAACATTTCATCTTCTAAGACCCCGCCCACTGATTATCCATTGGAATGTGTCTACTTCTGCCCGTCACTGGAGAACATCTCACCTCTCTTTCCTGCTTCTCCCCCAGAATATTTAGGTGTAATGTGACATTATGGTGCTGTGATGATCTCTGCTCCGTGATCTCCACAAACCGAACTCTGACCAGACTGGAGGTGATATTGTATGAGGATGAGGATGGTGAGAAGATGTCGGACTCAGAAGGGGATCGTTGTTATCAGGTCCTCCGGAATGCCGGCTTCACTGTGGATAGAGAGTAAGATCTGTTCTATTGGGGGGAACACACATACTGAGGGGATTTACTAAAGCTGGTTCCCTCAGAATCTGGTGCAGCTGTGCATGGCAGCCAATCGGCTTCTCACCTCAGCTTGTCCAATGAAGCTTTAGCAATAAAAGCAGTAAGCTGATTGGTTCCCCTCGCAGAAGTGCACGAGATTCTGAGGGATCCAGCTTTAGTAAATACACCCCACTAAGCCTGATGATGGCGATCACACAAGACAGGTACAGGAGCCCCAGAAACTGTACTGTATGATAATCATGATGGCAGTCACACAGGACAGGTACAGGAGCCCCAGCAACTGTACTGCATGATCATCATGATGGCAGTCAGACCCACGCAAGACAGGTACAGGAGCCCCAGCAACTGTACTGTATGATCACCATGATGGCAGTCACACAGGACAGGTACAGGAGCCCAAGCAACTGTATCATATGATCATCATGATGGCAGTCACACTCACACAGGACAGCTACAGGAGCCCCAGCAACTGTACTGTATGATCATCATGATGGCAGTCACACAGGACAGGTACAGGAGCCCAAGCAACTTACTGTATGATCATCATGATGGCAGTCACACTCACACAGGTCAGGTATGGGGCCCCAGCAACTGTACCATATGATAATCATGATGGCAGTCACACAGGACAGCTACAGGAGCCCCAGCAACTGTACTGTATGATCATCATGATGGCAGTCACACAGGACAGGTACAGGAGCCCCAGCAACTTACTGTATGATCATCATGATGGCAGTCACACTCACACAGGTCAGGTATGGGGCCCCAGCAACTGTACCGTATGATAATCATGATGGTGGTCACACAGGACAGCTACAGGAGCCCCAGCAACTGTACTGTATGATCATGATGGTGATAATGATGATGATGATTGAAGGAAGGACAGTGAAATGTAAGCTGGCCACAGATGGTTCAGATCTCGGCCAGTTCAGCGGGGACCAGATGAGATTTGAACCATGTATGGGCAGGCTGATTGTCCCCAAGTCAATGGTTGAATGGCTTGTGTACTCCAGCCTGTGGGATTTTACATGCGATTATTGCTAGCAGCTAGTATGGCCACCAGCAGCAATCATTGTGTTGTCCAGGCAGGGATGGTTCCCCCCAAGATGTTTACTATTTGTAAGTTATACAGTCGCTCGGCAAGCAGGTAGACACAGACAGAGCATGCTCTGCTCTATGGGCGGTTGTGTGTAAATGGACTCCACTGGTCATTACACCCGACTGCCCTCCAATTTGATGGAGGAGGACGGATCCGCTTTCCTTTATTTTAGCTGAACGGACCAGATTGGAGGTAAGCGGGTGTAAGCAGACACAAGTCCCTCTACATCTGCCACTCCATAGAGATGAATGGAGTTCACCTAAAAAAAACGGACAAGCAGACCCAATCTGACCGATGGTGTGAAAGGGGCCTTAGGCCTCATTTATATTTGTGTTTAAGGGTATGGTGGAAATGTGCAGCCCAGCTGTGAATTTTTGCCACCCCCCAAATGCTCCCACATATACTGCAAAGCAGTGGAGGGGGGAGGTAGTATACACCATGGCCCTGATGATTTATTATCACCACTGTTCTGTTGCCCCTCAGCCCGCTCCTGTTTTCCCAGGCTGTCCTGCTGTACATAGATGAGTTGGCAGCATACAGAGTGGGGGGGGAGGGGAACATCCATGTCTCCCTCCCCTCTGTGATGAATGAAGCCGGAAGCTGCAAGGATTATGTCACTTCTGGGTTTAATTCTGTGTTTATCTGGCTGGTACCGGCCAGGAATGATTAAATAAATGGTGAAGCGCTACTCATGTTACATATAAAATATAAGAAATGACCGGAGTATGACAACAATACTATGACCCACATAAAAGAAGATATATACCGTGTAATAATGCTGCAATTTGTACACTCAGGGCTCTGATCCACTTGGATCTAATCAGTGGCAGGGTGAAATACACAGGATAACCTGTTACAAATATAGTGGATCCCTTTTTCCTAATGGAAAACCTGTCACTCAAACTTCCAAGGGATGTCCCTACAGGGACTTGAAGTGGTTAATATGTGACCCCTTACGAGGGGTAAGAAAACAATGCACCAAGTGTATAGTGCCAATAATTGATGAAGAAAAGTCCAGCAAACATTTGGTATCTATTTACTGAACTCATCATATGCACATATATGAATCTAAAATGATGTCCAATATCCTATAGCTGTGGTCTTTAGACACACACACTCGTGTACGTGATCAGGTGGTCTTCACTCAGGGGACAAAAATCCTCCGAATGGCAGAAATGCCCCCTCACCTCCAAACCTGGACCACAAGGGCCAACTACACCTTATAGGATCACACCACGGTCCTAAGGAAACTGAACTCCTCCAGGTGGGAGATGCCGCTTAAGCACCTTTTCTCCATACCACTCTCAGGTCCACATTCCCATCAGGCCGTGCTGTTAGGACACAAGCAGAGACATCCTCCATAGTGCAATGATGGTTATTTGGCAATATATAACAATAACAAGGCAATTAGCCCACTCACATTTGTCTCCTTCAGAAAGCACTTTTACACCTCATAATATGGGTGTACTGCATGGGTCTGTATAGTGTTCCAATATGGCGTCCAACAGGAAGTGAATCACTGGATGTTGCGTACCGACGCGTTGCATCATGTTACCACGTGACTTCATCAGGGTATACGCCCTCTGGTGATCTCAGTTGGATTATATTGTCTGTCAAATGCCAATCAAATTGTTAAGGGAGGGATTACGGCTTCCATTTTCCTAAACCGCGTGAGTGACCTGACGGCGGACTTATGGTGGCCATTTTGCCGTCAAGTCCACATTAAGCACTCATATATTAACTTTAATGCAAACAGCAAAAAACGCCACTTTATTCTACAGTACGAGGGTGAGGTGTATTGAGCTCTGTTTACTGAAGGTGATGCCATGAACCATAATCTCTTAAAATCCAGAGTCATTGGAAAGATTTTTGTTTAACTGCACCCCCTAGTAACACACAGCCCCATAGCAGAATTTTTTTATTATTATTATACAGTATTTTTACAGAACCCTTTTTATTATTCTGTATTAATTATACAGAAATAGTGCTTTAGTGCGACACGGGTGCAAACAATTACGTATATAAACATGAATTTCAAGTTCTGGGTAGGGGGCGTTCAAGAGCTGTGTGCGCGCCCTACCCCCACACCACCATTTGTGGCCACGGCTGTAAATCACCGGGTCCCAGCAGTCGGTAATTACTCGCCAGCGCCCGGTGATTCCCAAGAATCTCCAACAGGGAGGACAACTGTTTTGTTTAAACAATCCTCCTCCCTGTCAGCTCGGGTAAACACTGCACAGCACAGCCATCCAGTAAACCAATTGAGTACAGTGAAGTACACAGACCCTCTTTTAGTAACACACCCCACCCCCTAAAAAAGCTGGAAACTGGCCTGGGAAGGAGGATTTGATTATAAGTGTCCTGTAGGCAAAGGTTTAATAGCAAAAAGTCAGAAATATTGTTTTTTTTTTTTCTCCAAAAATACTCAGGAGGGGTTTCATTAAAACAATGGAGACATATTATACTTACCTGTTCTGTGTAATGGTTTTGCACAAAACAGCTCTGATGGGTGGGCTTGGGGGGTGGGGTGGGGCTCTGGGGGCCCCCCGTCTGGTAGGTTGCACGGGGGCCCCATGATTTCTAACAGTGGCCCTGTTAACACCACACACAATGTAACATTAATATGCACTCTTCTTCTGAGGTTCATGTAAACAAATCATTGTGAACAGTTCTTTTGTCCTTTGTTCAATCCAGACATGGAGTCATCCATTCACCTTACCACTTGGTATCATGTCTAGTCTTTATCTCGTAGCCGTCTGATCCCACCATACCTCCCCCAGATTTATAACCTGGGAACATAAGCTGTAACCACCTTGGAATGTTCTTAGAATCTGTGTTCAGAAACCATGAAATAGAATATACAGAACAAAATGGCTTCCAGCATGTCCATGTAGAGATGAGTTCAGGCCTTCCTGTTTCATTCTGTGAGCCCAGAACAGTTCCCACATTTCTGTAGAACCCATTGGAGGTCTCTGGAGTTATACAGATAATGAGAGATGATTGAGATGTCCTGTGCCAGTCACAGATTTCCCAGATGATGGAGAATGTCTTCCTCATCCCAAGTTGTATCATTACAGATGGGTGGATGAGGAATATCAGATCCACCACTAATAATCTTAGTCGGGTCCTACAATCTTCCACAAGGTTTTACCTTTAAAGAAAAAGAACTTTCATTATCCTTCCCCCCATCCCCCGCTGTCTGTCCAATGTGTCAGTATAACTGAGCCAATCAGATGTGTTCTCAGCCTGTACACATGACAGCCCAGCACACCAGGCGTACAGTCTGATATCCCAATGGTTGGACGGCCATGAGTGTGTAGGCCCCTGCCATGGTGAGGGCCCCTCGGTATTAGGTAGGTAGTTTAGAAGGTGGTGGGCCCTTTAAATGGGGGACACTTATCAAACCCCTAAAGTGTGAGGACAGAGGGGATGGTTTGGTGTATTTGCATACTGGGGTCAGTTATGAAGAGATGAGATCCCACATCCCACCATCTACATCCAATCTACGTCAGATCTCCTCCCAGCATAGGAGACCACTGATGTACATTGTACGGCTGCAGATTTGTACATTACACATCGCACACATTTCCAGGAAGACAGAAGAATACTTCCCATTAGTGTGTATAAAAATGTCCATCATTTCTTCCAGAGCTCAGCACCAGCTCCCCCTTTTCCATCATCACAGCAACATTTCCTCCTCTAACACTCTCATTGTATTCTTCATAGACGGGATGTACCATGGTGGGATGTATCTATACACAGAAGAAGATTAGAAAATGGTCTGTGGGAAGTCCTCCCCCCCCCTTGCAGGTAATACACAGATCCTGATATGAAGAGATGTCCAGAATGGAATTATATCAGATCTCCTGTTCATGGCACTGATTATTCATCATTTTCCTTTTCTTCACATTCAGATGATGATTCTACTGACTGATATCTACTGACCGTTATTCCGGAATGATCTGAGCGGGGATCTGTCCTTCCTCCCATTCCTCCATTTTATATTGTATTGTTACTCCTCAATGTATTCATTACTACAAAATAAAAATGTGACTTTTGGATCTTCACACCAAAACTGCCGCCACTGGTGAGACCCGAGCGCTGGGAAATTCTGTGTTCATGACATGAAGATTCCTCCTACACAAGTAGAAGACACTGAACACATGGTGACAGTGCGGGGAGGACAGTGGGGGGCGCTCTCCATAACATATAAAGAAACAATGGGTTGGCAGGAGAGTCCGCACCACAAGGACAGAGGTTACCTTCAGAGACTAAGTGGCAAAAATACTGCATTTTTTGCTATAAAAAAATAATTTGTATTTTTTTTTGTGTAAAAAAATATATTTTCAAATATAAAACCACATAAATAAAAAACACATGTATCCCCATTAACCCAAAGACAGTGTTGTCTTCCCACATGACTTCAGACATCCAGATGTGGCCACATCCAATGGGTGGGTCAGCTAGACAGTGGGGTGACCCCCTACTGTACCGGCTTCCCCTCCCCCCATATAATAAATGACCTCTCGGGAAAACAACAACTGCTATATAAGGCCAGCTGAGGCTACACTATAGAGTGTGTTTATGAGCTGCAACAAGTAACAGACAAAAACAAACAATCCATGTATAAAGGAACACATCTAGTGTCATCTTCCAGGATTACAATAAGAATTGTCTCTGATATTGTTCCATCTGCAGATAAGGAGACTAAAGCCGACAGGGAGCAGAGTCCATATGAAAGTCCAGCCGGTGCAGTGTCCCCCTTTTCAGCATTTCCATCGATCGCTCAGCATGGAATCGGCTGTAGAAATGGAAGCTGACAATTGGTGTAGCGACTCTTAGGTCACACAATGCCACTAAAGTTCCAATTGTAGCTCTAGTGGTCACTCAGCAGGGTGCACTACAATGTCCAGCAAGCACAGTCATAGCAGAACTATCAGAAGATAGAGCAGGACAAGCCATAGAGTTCCAGCAGTTCCAGTCCACATGAGATCTTATGCCACATGAATGGTGACACACATTAGATTGCAATGACCAATTGGCACTTTCATGGCGGAGCAATTGTGAGAGCGAGCAGAGCAAGCCGCAAGATGTGACAGTCAACGTTCATGTATGAGCCTTAGCGGTCTGGGTGTCGGGTCCAATACTGGCCCATAGTTGCCAACATTTCCAAAATGTTTTTAGGGAAACCTTTTTTTTTCTGAGTGTCCAGAAAGCCCATGTACGCGGGGCTTGTACTTTAATTAGGGGTGTGGCATTCATTGATTATGGGCGTGGTTCTACATGAACATGACTTCTTTGTGGCAGGCATATTCAGCGCCTCCAATGTACGCAGTGCTGTACATCCTGTACATGACATTTCATTGTTAGGAATGTTTCTACAGGAAGATTTCTCATCAGGACAGAAACAGCTAAGAAGATATTGGGAATTGGGAACATTATTCCCCCATTTGTTTGGCTACAACAGCACTGACTGTAAAGTGCAGCAACCCGACAGCTCTTGCAGAGAATCCAGTGATAGACACCAATGACACATTTTATTTCATTATTACAGGTGCTTATATAGCGCCATCAATGTACACAGCACTTTCCATACAGTATATATTGTACATTCACATCAGTCCTCAACCAGCGGACAATCTAAGGTCCCTAATCACATCCATACACATACTAGGGACAATCTACCTACCAGCATGTCTTTGGAGTGTGGGGGGAAACCCGCACAGGCACAGGGAGAGCATGCAAACTCCAGGCATGTAATGCCATGGTTGGGGTTTGAACCGATGCCCCTAGTGCTGCCGGATTGAAGTGCTCACCACTTAGCCACTGTGCTGCCTGATAATATGGTATAAAATATTCTGGAAACATCATGTGACTCTGACCGTTCTGCTGAGTCCTGCAACTCCTGCTGTGGCTGCTGATAGGTAGAAGGTTTTGGGGGGTGGTAAAACAATCCTGTGTGATAAAGCTAGTAAGGAGGCATCCTACTGTGGAAAGTTGGAATCCTAGAACCAAGCTGGAAATCTTTAGTAAACTAAAAGACACAAGCAGATGCTAGTAGATCCTGAGAAACGTGCAAAGAAGCAATTATCCATCACCATTTATTGGGGGGGGGGGCACTGAAATCAAGGCAAGAACAGTGGCCTGTACTGCTGCATACCTCCAGCCAATGGGGGGATTTACTAACACTGGAGCACTCCCAATCTGCTGCAGCTGCTCTCTGTCACTGCTGCCCTGCTGTGCTGATCTGCTGAATATCTCCAGTATATCTGTGTGACTCCGTCTATAGAAATCTTCCTGCTCAGCAGCTCCCTCCTCTCACAGAGACCGCTGTTAGGCAGTTGGGCAACGCAGGGCAGCGACTACAGAGAGTAGCTTCAGCCGCTGTTCTTCTCTTTCTCCATTCTGGCTACATGTACAACAAATGCCGGACATCAATGACAATATCAAACATATGTACAAAGCCGAGTACAGTGCAGGAAATGGACTCAAAATACAGACTTGTAGACGGCCTTAAGCAACCAATTCCTTCTTGTGTTTTCAGTCCAGGTCTTCAGAGATCAGTACATGTGGGGGGTTATTGCCTTCATCCCATATCTTGGCAGATGGTCACTATTTTACTTGGAGTATTAGAAGTTGTAAGTGTTCTGGACATTAATACTGAAACTTTATAGACAGGCAACTCCTATCCTCATATTGATGTGAAATGAAAGTGCTTCGTGCTCAAAAGTTCTGCAGTAAAAGTGTTCCGGTGCAAACAGTGCTTCTCCAGCCAAAGGGCCTCTTACCAACCAGGAATGATCTGGAATTACAGAGATCAGATGCGTCTTCTCTATCCAAGGATGGCCGACACTCCCACCATCAGACCCCCAGGGGGCTCCGTGATCCCATCAATGGGATATGGTGATATGGTCCCCACACAAGGAAATCACGCCTTGGCCACGCCAAACAGCGCCGACCACCAATCAGATGTATAAAGTGCAAACAGGGAGGAGCCTCATAGTGTAGTGAGATCAAATCTTTTGTATTAAATATTACATTTATATTTGGGTGAATAGGAACATGTGATGTACAATACCAAAAGTACTGCCGCGGGACCAGCTGACATGCCTGCACGTGATGACATCACACCCAGCTCCGCCCATTGTGGTTCTCCTTAATTGGCCTCCTCTGGGATTGGAGGATAGTGTGAGACGTCATTACTCCTCATGTAAAGCGGAAGTGATGCTGGAAGAGCTCGGTGCATTCATGTGACCCCAGGAAGGATATCAATGATCACACAAAGCAGTATATCTAGTGACTCTCTGCTTAAAATATATCAAAATTAATTGTACATATAAAAAAATGAAAAAATGTATACGAAAAAAGTTTAAGTGTGAAAAAAACATATATATATATATACAAAAATGATTGTATCCTCCATTATTTGTAAGATGAATTGGCCAGTTACTGAAGGGACAAACCTCAAGGAGAGACAGCGTCCTCTAGTGGTTCTGTCAGGGATGCAGGTGTGACCAGAGATGTGTGGACTGACACAGGGAAACGCAGGCTTCAGATATGGTATAAATAAGACAATTTATTAAAGACTAACAATACAAATATAAACGCAGTGCACCAAACCCCAAGCTAACACAAATACATACAACAAGGTGAAACAAACCCAAACCTAAACTGATACAGATACACAGGTACATACACATATAGAGCACAACGTAGTCAGGCAGGCCGAGTCGATAACTATCGGGCAGGTAGGTACAGGAGGAGCAGGCGGAGAGAATGGTCAGGGTCACAAGCCAGGGATCAAAACAGGAGAAGTCAGCAGAGGTCAGGATCAGGCAGGGTCGGCAACATGTCAGGCAGAGGCAGGAACAGGAACGCAGGTTACAGGATACAGGGGCCCATGGAAAAAAACACACACCAAGGCACAGACTGCAGGTCTGGCCATCCCTTAAATACACCTGCAATCAGCCTCAGGTGATGGCTAATTGCCGAAGTGAACCTCTGGTTGTTGAGAGCACCCGCTGGCCAGCCCTGGTACTGCAGCCCACAAGGCAGGTGAGTCCCACCACTATTGGCAAGTCCATTCCTGACAGGTTCTATGTATGAGCAACTGGTTATTCCACATAAAAAATCATAGGAGCGCGTAGACACAAAAAATGTATTTACAGAAATATAAAAAAAATTAACCCCTCGCCCTCCAGAGGATTTACCCCCCTTAATGACCACGCCTCCTTTTGCTACTCGGCACTGCACTAATTCAACTGATAATTGCGCTGTCATGAAAAGCTGTACCCAAACATCCTTTTTTTTCACACAAATAGCGCTTTCTTTTGGTGGTATTTGATCACCTGTGCACGCTATAAACAAAAAAAATGTTGAAAAAAAAATGTTTTAAAAAAAAAACAACATTTTCTCAATTCTATCATAATAAATATCCAAAAAGCTAAAATTTTGTCATAAATTTAGGCCAAAATATATTCTTAAAAAAATCCCAGTAAGTGTATATTGATTGCTTTGTGTGACAGTTATAGCGTCTACAAACTATGGGATAGATACTGGAATTTACAGCTTTTACTTTCTGACTGTCCATCACATTTCTTGAGATGCTAAAATACCAGGACAGTACAAACACCCCAAAATGACCCCTTTTCAGAAAGTAGACACCCTAAGCTATCTGCTGAGAGGCATATTGAGTCCATGGAAGATTTTTTTTTTTTCCACAAGTTTCTGGAAAATGACAAAAACATTTTTTTTACACAAAGTTATCATTTAAATTATATATTTCTCACACAAGCCATGGATATATGTGGAATTACACCCCAAAATACATTCT